GTCAATTTAATTATTTTTATAGAGGAAATAACACTTTATTAATAAGTAGAGATCCGTTTTTGAGAGCTTTCGCTGTACAACAGCTGCATACAAATTGAGAATAAACGACGGACTGAGCAGCAATTTGGTCAGCCAATATAAACTTTATACATACAAGTATGTACATACATATGTATTCACATTCGTAGCACCAACAGGGCGACAGCGAAAAGGAGGACAGATTTCGATAGGGTAGGGTAGGGTAGGGAGGGAAGGGCATTCTCAGCTTCATCATAATCATCATTGTGGCAGCAATTTGATGAGGTTGTTGATACCGCCAAATACTGCAACGGACAGTGCGCCTTTGTGTGCTCCTCCTCCCTGTTATCGTTGTTCTTGTTACGGTTCTTGTTACTGTTACTGTTGCTTCTCTGCTACTGTCATTTAATTTAATTTGAGTCTTTGCTTGTGATTAGTACGAAAATTTGTTTATTTATTTAAAAGCTTTTGTGGTTCTTTTTCTTGCTCTTGATTTGACGAGTTTATTATTTTTTAAATACTGTTGACATTTCTAAACAGAGCGCTGCTTATCATACATAACATACCATAAATTTGTGCTTATATACATATATGTAAATACACACCCATACACATGAAGATAAGCATGTACATACAAGTATATGCATACATATGTATAAGATGCGTAAATCAAGACACATACATATCAAAATTAAGGTATATATGTACATATGTACATCCGTGTATCTGTGTGTGCTTACAGCGTCGGAATCAGGTCACGTGTATTTGCTCATTTGATTAAATTTGTTTAAGTCGTCATGTGAGTGTGTGTGAGTTACTCAGTTGTTGCAGCTACTTCTAGTGTTATTCATAAAAATAGCGACTGCTGCGATGTCTGCCATCTCTTATCAGCTGAAAAAAGTGCATTTAATGTCAAGTCTAGCACGCAAAAACTGCCACAGACCAAACGGAATCTGTACCACCCTTAAAGCCAGTATCATAGAAATGCTTAGTAGCAATCACTTAGTAGGGGAAACTACCTAATTATTCGTGGAAAACTTAAGCTATGACAATAATTTATGTATCTAAACATTAATGATACGCGAACCATGGGATTTATTACCGAACCAAACAGCTTGTATGGAAAAGAACAACTCTGCCGTTTGATTTCCTTTAAAATGCATATATGTATGTAACAGTAGCCCCCTAGGAAGTTTATCGAAATATCACTTGACATGGTATCCAAAAATCTAGGATTGGACAGTTATATACATTCATACTTTCATATATTTATACTTATGAAACAACTTAGCACGTTAGCGTGTATTCTACAGCCTGCTTTCACGTGCGCACAAAACATATGTACATACATATGTATATGTATATGTGTAGTATGTAGGCAGGCAATCCTTAAAGTTTCACTTCTCCTTCTTACCTCTTCAGTGTGTTGTGTTGGATTTAAAAATTACTATATGAATGAACATCTGTGTGTGTAAAAAAAATATGTACCTTTCTACAGCCATACACACAAATAAATAATTTTGTATACATATGTATGTATGTACATATGTATGTACATTCTGTAAAAACTCTAGTTACACATGGTGTTATGACTCGGCGGCTTTGTCCAGCGTTTTGTAACAAAACGCCAAATTCACACCCCGACTCCCGCACCGCTAGAGTTAAGAGCAGGCTGAAAGTGGTACATGAATCATGAGCATGAATAATAACAGTTAATTATATTTGTTTGTTTGCCGTCGCACTCGCATGTAAATAAAATGCTCACTTTACAAATTATTACACACTTGCATATTTATGCATCAGTGTGTGCGTTGTTGGTGGTGTTATTGCTTAGCGGTATGCAACAGGCTAGCAACAAATGAAATGACAACAAGGAAGTCATAAAACAAAGCAATGCTCAATGGCAGGCAGTCATGGCAGTCCAGACAGCAGCCACAACGGCAACAATAAAATTTAATTTTAATTTTAATCGCCCAAAAGAACGAAGAGCAGACAACAGAACAGTACCGACAGAGGTTGAAGCAGAGGCATAGATGTAGGCTTGCAGTTAGCAGGCAGCTTATCCATAGCAACAACACTTACCCACCAACACAAATGCACGCACACACGCACATCCATTACGTAGAATGGATAATGGCGTGCAGACAAAAACATTTTTCAAGCAGCCAACAACTGCGTATATATGGATAAAATTTAATAAACACAAAACAGGCAGCGCAGGCAGAGATCTCCAGCAACAGCAACGACAGCAACAGCAGGAACAGCAAGAACGAGGAGCAGAAAGCCAAATAAACGTAGGCACATACACATGTACGTATGTATGTAAATGCATATGCATGAAGGTTGAAGATTTGTAAAGCAATGGGCGGGCACATATACATATATACTCGTACATGCATACATACTATACATACGTCATATTCACATGCATACTTACATGCGTATGTCTGTATGTATCCATAGTCAGCCGTTGATCAGAAAAGTCCGAGACAACAAACACCGAACAGGTCGCGTCAGGTAAACATGCAGCAGGAAGTGAACGAGTGGTTGAGAGCGTGTGTGTGTGTGTGCCGATTTATGAAAGAGTGAAGGGAGAGGCAAATAGCCTTCTTATCGCGGCTGATAAATATCGGTAAATGAAGCAGCAGCCAGGCAACAGAACCAGCAACAGCCGCGATCTATGCGTGGTCAAAACAAAAGGGAGACAAGAACAAGCAACTTTTAATATGCCTATAAAGCAGGTAACAACAACACCAGGCAAACGGCGTGACAAATATAGACGAATGCGGCGTTGCAGAGAAAATGCAGCGCGCGGCACGTTCTGGCTGTTGTTTTTGTTGTTGCTGATGCTGTGATTTCTTGGTGGGGGCGCTCTGCACACACACACACACACAATATAAAAGAGGGAATGTTACATTCAAGCAAGCCCGACATTGAAATACCCTGTACCTACAATGATTTTGCCGCTGTGTTATTTGTGGTGTTATAGCGAGTTTGGTCAAGATAGACTCAGCCGCTTTTGACATAGGCGGATGGACACACATATGTACATATGTATGTGCATATTTTTTGTCATACTGATTAGGAATATATTTACATATGTACATGTATTAGATAGAAGTTAGTTATGCTTGTAACATACATTAGCTCAAATTTAATATACACTTTTTACGCTGCGGGTCCAGGGTACAAAAAACTGTAAAACGCACCAAGAACATGTTGCGACGTTGTTGCTTTGCTGGGAGGCAGTAAAAGAACACGAAAAACGACGCGACAGCAAAGTAATGGAAAATAAAAAGAAAATTGTTAGAAGCAAAGGTAAAGCAAAGTCTAAAATTAAAACAAGCTGCCTGCATAGCAGAGCGCATATCTAGCAAGAGAGTGCGGAGAGCGCGCCCACTTCTTTCTGAGAGCATGCAGCGACACATGCAGTTATTTATGTTTGTGGTGTTGTTCACAATGCTGTTGCTCTTTGCAAGTATTTTGATTCAGCGACTTGATAGAGTAGACACAGCAACAAATGCAAAAGCATAAATGAATGTAAGAAAAATCAGATTGCATTCAACTACACCCTCCCCCTTTTCCAACATAGAAAAGTTGTTATCGTTGCTGCTTTTGTTGTCATGACGTCAGCGCGCATGCGTTTACATTTTGCTTTTTATACCCTGTACGAAGAGAATAGTAGGGTACACTACTTTAGTGCGAATGTACGAAACATATTGAAGGAGGCGTGTCCGGTCCCACAAAGTAAATATATTCTTGATTATTATGATAAAATAGAACAAAAGAAACACAGAAAGTATATAAATGTAATAACTGAAATTGGTATTCAAGCCCTAAGCAAGAAAAGTTTGTGTTTTTTCGTATGTACCCCGCACTTGCCCACTGCCAATGTTAATTCATAACCCAATTCTCAAAATTTTTTATAAAATTTGGCAGTTATATACATTATGTAAGTGTTTACATACAAAGCATTCTGGAAAGTTCAATTGTATGAGATACTGTAAAGGTTAGCCTGCCAGCAGGTGATCTTGCTGAAAACTAAAAGCACATGCACTAAGCCGTAATTTAATAACGTAAGTGTTATCAGTTGTATAAATAAATATTTTTAGTTTAAAAAATGTAATTACGTATTATTAAGAAATTGTTTTTGATTGGGTACAGGATTTTTAAGAGTCAGGATCGCTCGTTCTATGTTGCTGCTGTGCTATGTTTTCCTTTTTTTTTTTTTAACATTTTTCGAATACAAAAAAATTTATTCGAGTCAGTGACAAAAGCGAGCGGAGAACGACTGTTTTTCTCCTTGTTCTTGTTGTTGCCCACTGCAAGCGCCAAGGGGTGATTTTCACGCATATGTGCGGATGTGGCGTTGAGGGAGGATGGCGGGCGATGAAAATGAAAACGCACACTAAAAATAACACCGGGGGGAAAATAGGAAAAACTGTTGTTACAAAATGCGCACAGAAATAGAATAAAACAACAACACGAAAAAGAAGATAAAAAAGTGCTGCACATTGCGACGCAGTTTGGAAATGTTCTCGACACTCACACGAACATATATAGTACATATGTATGTATAGTATGTACATATTCGTATTTGAACAATTAACAACGGTGCACAAAATAATAAACTGCGCTATAAATTTTGTACTGTGAAATGGCAAAATGTTTATCAGTCTAAAAAACGTCAAAACGTGTGAGGCACAAGTTCAATAGACCCACCCGATCAGACCTTTCAGGATAGAACAAGGGGGGCTATACAACGGTCGATGACTGCAACGCAAAACCAAATTGAATTAAAGCAATTATCTACGACGAATATATGATACCATATAGGGCGCTAATTACTAAGCAAATGGGTTGTTGAACCGCAGTTAGCCCAGTTGAGTGACTGATACAAAGGAAGGATTTACAATACATACATAGGTATGTACATATGTATACGTGAATTTATATATGTACATATATATAGCGTTACTTACCGTTTGACCATTTTGTTGTTTACCCCCGAATTGTTTTCCTGCTGCGTGCCAATATCAACGGATTTGTTATAATCCAGTTTTGACGTGAAGATTTTTATGCGACGGAAATTAATTTTGCCGATTTTGTATTAAACCTTTGGATATGTTTAACATTAGTTGCAGTTTACATTAATTTCAATTAACTATTTTTCAATTGCTACAAAACGCAATCGACTGTTCTGTTTCCTGGAAGTGGGTTTGTTTGTAATTAACATTAAAAAATGCTGCAGTGACGACGTCAGCACAGCGGGAGTCCAATTGGACAGCGACGCATTCCCAACCAGAAACACGACGCGTAGACGTTTCTCAAGACAAACCAAAATAACAAAATTATAAAAAATGAACAAAAATCTGCTGTTACAGAAAAACAACCAAACACAATAACAATTTATAGCAATAAAAAGCGGTCTATATAAACAGAGAGAAACAAAAATAAAGTACAATTCTATAATGCTAAATTAAAGGCATTTAATTGTGTTTATTTGTACATATTTTGCATTTTATATGATTTTATCATACGCGCCACCGCCCCCGCACATCAAAAACCAATAAAACTAATAAGAAAAGAACGTCGTTCGCGTTTTGCGCTTTGTTTTTCCGTTTTTGGCTGCTGTTGCGATTTGAACTGACGCCACAGCGGCAGCGAAAGAAGCAGAGACAGCAACTTGTCTTGTTTTTGCGTTTCGTTTATACTTTTTGCCTGCAACACTTCAAGGGCTTTGTCATAACAACAACAACAATAATAGCAGAATAACAACAAAACGGCGAACGCCAAAGAAATCACTTTATTGATTCGCTATAATTATGCACATTATTACATTATACCATTAGCATTCGAAAGTAAAATTAGCACGTTAAATAGATGCACTTTTATTTTGTGCTCTGCCTTTCATGCCTTTTGCTTTTTTTCTTGCTCGGCGCGGGCCAAACTAAACTAACACTTCATAGCACTCCACAACAAATTTAATTAAACCGAACACTATTTACCTCTTGAATGCGATTGAATTAGCAATTTGTTATTGCACACGGGATTTGCATATGTTTATACACTTTATTCATTAATTTCTTTGAATATTTTTTGACTAATATACACCATAACAAAGCTCGTCATTAAATATCCACCCGCATCTCGCGTTTACAAAGACCTACGACTCATGAACAACTGAACCAGTGGTATTAATGAATTGTTGACGGTGAGTTTTCGATACATCGATAGCATGCAGTGCACCTAGATAGCAAATATACCAACTATCGAAGCGAAGCATTTGAATGGAGTTGGCACTTCCATCAGTTCTTTGAAAAGCACTATAATACTATCATAAAAATATACTAAACATATATGATTATCACAAACCCACATTTTTTTATTACTTACTCATTAGCAATAACTGTATCAGCAATAGGGCAATTAGAAGTTATTCGATATCTTGACACTGGAAGTCGAAGCCAACACGTTATCGATATGGAATCGATAATTTAAATATAACCATCAATACTTGTAAAATAAAACGCATACGGCATATTTTAAAATTTTTATTTGGTGCCGACAACATAATGATTATAGTTTAAGCTGTCACGATGATATCTATCACCTGCATGAGTTTTCTAAAAGTTGTAATTATGTTTTATTAGAACAGATCCTAATATTTATGATATGAAAATCTTTTTCGATGCAAAGTAATTTTTAGACATTATTTTAAAGGCACTCCTAGCCAAGTAAAATTCGTGAGTGACAGGCAAAAATATTTAATAGGCCGTTTTCCATGCAGCTGTGTGCAACATGTCCTTATTTTTTGGGTTTGGGTCTGAATTAGAAAACTATATTTCTTCTTCAAACACAATATATCGCTCTCCTAATTTTTTGCAAAAATGCTGCTCAATACTATCGATAGTTGCAAAAAACGATCGTTGTAGACCGCAAATACACAACTATCGATAAGGCCATTTATCTTTCTGTGTAAATACGCTTTGGGAGGAAAGTACGATCTTTTACTGATCGTATATATTTGTGAGATGCCCCGATTCCAGATGCAACGTACTTTTCAAGTTCCAGTTGAGGAAAATTAAGCTGAACATGAATGAGAATCTGTATAAATGAATGCAAATATAGCAACCGCTGACCATTCAATATCAGACGAAAAATGCCTAATCAACATCAACCAGACAAATCACCCCAAACAAAAAAAGCGAAAAGCTAGCAATTTGCGCGCAATTAAAAGCTTTAGTGTTTACGAGTGCAGTTTCGTGAGTACCGACGTCAACAGCTTAGTGCGCTGGCAACAGTAGTCAAGAGAAGAGGCTACAATTATGCGGTCTCGCAATAATAGCAATCGACGTCAAATATCTTCAGTGGACAATGAGCCCGAGACGGTTCAGGCACAGGTTCAGGAGTTGTTGCAGTGGTTGGACGCTAATCCCTACATTAATGCCAGCACAGAGTACGACAATGTGTATTTCTTTTTGCGCACCTGCAAGTTTGATGTGGAGCGTACCAAGAAGAAAATAAAGTGTTTCTATCAGATGCGCGCTGAACGGACAGAATGGTTTGCCAATCGCGATCCCTTCCTGCCTGAAATTCAGGAGCTGCTCCAACTGGGTGTCTTCCTGCCCGTCGACGGTGTGGACAAACAGCAACGCAAAGTGGTCATTATACGCACGGCTGCGCACGATCCCAAGCGACACACTCAGAACAATGTCTTCAAGGTGAGATGCTGAATCGTATCAATATTGAATATTATTTCACTTCCGCTTCTATTCCCAGACCAGCAAAATGATTTTAGACCTACTGTTGAAGTTTGAGCCCGAGAATTGTGCACGCGGAATTGTGGCCATACTCGACATGGACGGCGTTCAATTGGGACATGCTCTGCAACTGAATCCCATACTAATCAAACGCTCCGTGGAGAGCTGGACAGCGTATCCATGCCAGCCAAAGCTGCTAGAATTCATAAATGCACCTCGACATGTCAATATATTTCTGAATACTTTTCGCATATTTATGACACCAAAGATACGATCACGCGTTCATGTACGTCGGGGTACTACAACCGTAGAGTGCGCCAATATTCCAAAAGATCTGGGAGGGTCGGGAATATCATACAAAGATCTTTCACTGAAATGGAAGCAGCTGGTCGAAGCCAATACTGAATTCTATGTGGAACAAAGTAAATATAAGAGCATACTCAAGTAAATTTGTGTTAATGTGTCATCGCCTTGCATGATAAGCCAGCGATTAGCTGAATATACTACGTATGTGAATGCACTAGACAACATGCGTAGTTATTTAGAACCAATCAATCAGTGAATACTGTATTAAGATCCTCAGACATTAAGCAGTTTTTAAAATGACGTTGAATGTAAAATACCTAAAAGTTAGCAGGCTATTGATGACTCTCAAATTCTCTCTCTGAAATGTATATTTTAGTAAAAACTAATATGGGATAAAGGATAAAAGTAATTGCTCTTTAGTATTTATTAAATAATGATAAGACAGCTTCTTGGCTTCCTAAGATGTAGACTGTCGGACTATATGTGAAATTGTAAAAAATTTTGTACCTCTTATTTCAATTAAAATTATAGAAGCTTTTGTTAATGTAAATACCAGTTCTTTGAAACCCACTGTATCTATATTTACCATGTGTAACGCGTTATCAAAAATTGTGCAATATTTAAGCTTCTCGATTACCCTGAACGACACAATTTGACAATGATGCTAACATACTTGTATAAAAATTAGTGAAAAAAATATTGTTATTGATATACAAGTACATAAAAAATAAAGTCCAAACATTTTTCAGTGGATCAGTTCTGAATTAATTTCTGATTTCTTTTCACAAGTGAACACGAAATGATTTTTCTTGGCAGGCAATCCGATGGATTCTCAACCGTTTAGCCTTTAAACGGACGCATAGTTTATGCGTAGTTTTAGCTTAATTTCGTTAAGCAGCCTTTAAATACTATTTCAACAAAAGATCTAATCAGTATCTTCAGATATAATTGAAATTGGCAGACTAGTGAGCTTCAATTTGAGCTGCAATTTTCTGCGTAGTTCTTGAAAACATTTATAACGTTATCGTGTATGTGCGTGGAATGTTTCGCCTTTGCTGATAAATAGAGTCAAAGGACGATATAAAAATGGGGGGCAGAAAATAAAACGCAGCCAGTTAATATAATTCAGTTTTTCTTTATTAGTATAAAACGTATCAAAAATGTTTATCAAGTCTACAATTATTATCATTTATTGGGCCGTCGACGTTGCCGTTTCACATTCCTGGGGATTTACGTTTTGGATTACAACACACACATAGGTTTAATCCGTTAAATAATACGCCCGCTGACGACACAGATAGTTGTTGTTTTTTTCTTCTGCCATAGAGACAAAAGTAATAAATACGTACTACATAGATCATACAAGAACATAAACAAATAAACAAGCTAGCTTTTGTGAACATACAGAATTTGTTTGAAGCAGCAAGAGTCGTTAGTAGTCGTAACGTGCACATGAGCTGCCAGTGTTATTTCCATTTATACATAAACATATTTATATATATAAAGGCTATATATCTCTTAAGGTTACGTGTCACATATAAAAATATAGTAGTTGCTCCTCAGTGTTTATGTCGTTATCGTTAATATTTTTAATATAATTTTGTTGTTTGCAGCTAACGGCGCCCTGCCTATAACCACTGTGGGGATAGGGAAACGACAGCAGAAAAGTAAAGCACATACGCACTGAACAAAACTTAAAAGCTATAAACGAGAATAGGAAATGCGGTAACTAACTAAAGCGTAATACACGAGAGTCCATCAAATCGCCAAAATGCGATTAAACCCTAAGTCAAGGCCAGTCGATGACGGGCAATGCCTAAAAGTTTCATCACAAGTCTAATTGCAAACTGCCGCCGTTGCTACTGCAACCACCACCACCATCGCTGAAGCCGTTGCCACCGCCACCACTGTCCTCGCAACTCGCCACCACTTGCAGTGATTCCTATATCTGCCTTTCATCCTTTGCCGTCAACTTATCGATGAGTTCCTGAAGCGGCGCCAGCTCGCGGCGTTCAATCAAATTGAACTCTTGCACAAAGAATATGAAGTGTTTAAAGGACGTATTTAAATGGGCCTCCTCGCCCAGCGTGACTACCTCGGAGAAATGCTGATGATAGATGTGAGCATATACGCGAAATAGACGTTTTAGTATGGTCTTGGCGGAGGCGAGGAAACTCTTTGGAAACGGTACACCGATTTTGGATGGAAACAGCGTTTCATCATCAAGCTGATCCTGTACCCAAGTCATTAGATAGTCAATATACTTGGGTGCACTGCATTTAATGGGCTTCTTGACGGTTAAACCGTCGGCCCAATGATATTCGTACTTCGGACCGGCCGACATAATGCTGCAGCTCTCCTCCGTGCAAAACTCCGTAATGGTGCCGTACAGCATGTTAATCTGATTAAAAAAGTCCACGGCTATAAAACAAAACAAATCAAAAACAAAAAACGCAACAGTTAGACTGGAAGCTCCAATTACAATCAACCGGTTTTATACGTACTGTTGACGGCAACCCATTCATTGAGATCCTCGCCATCGGGCAGTGCAACGGCATTTCGCAAATTTCCAGAGCCTAAGGTGGCTGCTGCATGTTTCATGAGATCATATTGATGGGTACCCTCTGGTATGTTCTTTTTGGGCTTGAAAGTGCGGCTGGAACGCGAACCGCTAAAGGGGAGACGTATGTAAAAACAATAAGTGCTGGCACGCCACAACAACCCCATCAAAAGTGCGGCCTCTCTCCACATCCACCTATGAAGTGGGGGCAGACATGCACGAACAAAGGGTAGCGTTCTTTGTTCTTTGCAATTCTTGCGTATCTGTTGTTTTAAATTGCAACTCGGACTACATACAAACATTTCTATGTGGACAACACTACATACATTCGTATGCGACCACAATTACTTACAACAAAAATTCCATTGCCATGCAGTATCTGTTGTTGTTGCTTCTTTTGACACCTTTCACTCGCGGCCGTGTCAAAATTTGCGTTGTATTGGCCGAATTTCACACGTCCCTGCCTAATATATTTTGTATTTTCAGCGCCCCTGACGTGTTTTATTAGAATGTATTTTACAAAATTCAATTCTTAAGAAGCAAGAAACTTTGTAGGCAACTCTAATCTAGTTTTTGTTCGACTGAACGACGAGGTTTTATTTGTTTACTGTTTACTGTAGCCGTAACGAAAGCGTTCGTTATAAGGAATCGAATAAAACGTCTCTGATGTGACGCTTCTTGTGTACAAAATGTATTACAAACTGTGTTTGTTGTGAATATAAACGCAAATAATTGTTACAAATAAAAATAAAATCGCCTCCGTGTTGCACCAAAAAACACCACCATTTCAAAATACTAAGAAAAATACTGCACGCACACCTGTGTGGTCTCTTGCTCGCACACTTGGACGGATCGGTTATGTGGGTGGGAGTATGACAGCAATAGTATGTACGTTGCCAGCCTGCTGGAAAAAGCACTTGCTGCCACCTGATTTCGATTTGTGTGCGGGAGTATTTGAAAATGTGATTTAGACTGAAAAAGCCGATGCACCAGACGAAGACGCTTAAAAAGAAAGTATTTGTATAAATAGCAGCAATTGAATTTATCGCATACACTTACAACTACAGTCTCCATCCTGACCAGTTGTCGAGTCTTCGAATTTGGGAACATTTACAGTGGCCACGCTTATGCGCCGATTAAGATCGCGCAACTCTTCCTGGACTTCTTCAAAACCAACCGTATACTCATGACAAAAGTAATCATTACGTAACTGCTCTGGTAGATGTTCCTGGAGTAGCATTTGAGCGTGTTTATCGTTTGTCAAACGTTTGTAGATTCCAATGACGCTTTTCAAGATGCGTGGCTCAGGCTCAAGGGTAAGCTGATGCACCACCTTGGCCAGAGTGTAGATCAAGTGAAAGCAAAATGATTTATTGTTGGTAAAATAGCTCAGGCCGATGTCATGGTCTAGAATGCGACGCAAAATGTACGCCGTTATAGCTTTTGTCATTTCCGAACCAAGCTCTAGGAAAGTAAATAGAGGCGGCATAAGGCCGCCTGGTCCCAGCAGAAATATGATTACTTCGTTACACGAGGTTTTAACAAGATCACCAATAACACCAAGCACCGAAAGGCGAACATATTCCACGGGCAGGGTGCGCACAGTGGAATTCAGCATCGGCAGCAAATACATCAAAATCTCAGCGCGCAAAAATGGAATACGCGTCTCAGGATGGCCAGCGATGGTTTGCAATAAAGTCATAGCGAAACAAACGCGATTGGATTCCATCCAATTGAGGGTTTTGGCCAACAGCGTAGCGTAGGAAGATGTTATTTCCTGCAGCAGCGCAGCAACAGCACCAAATGTATGCCATAGCATTATTCCCAAATCGGGATAATCTCGACGTGTCGACAATTCCCGCAGCGCCTCATACCGCAATTCGGTGTTGCACAGGTCGGTGATCCACTTGTAAATAAGCTTGCTTTGCTCAGCTTCGTTCAGCATGTTGGTTAATTTTTGCGGAATTGTGGAATCAGCCATGCTAGACTAGTCCAAAATAAGATATATTTCAGATGAAGAAAAAAATAAATCTTTCACGTCTGCGAGGAGTGCAACCTCTAACGGCTCAAACTAATGTCAAAAAAGAACAATAAATTCTCGCAGTTCGTGTGCACACACTGGGAGAGATATCGGACCTATCGATAACACTGCGTTTTTGTAGCACGTGGAGTCCAACAGCTTGTGTGAAAAATAATTTAATATTTGTGAAAAGAACGGCATATTTTCATCATAAATATGGTAATTATGCGTTGACAGTTGATATACATGTGTTTAAGAATTATTAAATTCGTGAAAGCAGCTGTATAATTACAACTAACCTAAGTGCCAGACACCCAGATATCTGAGACTACTGTTGAAAGCATGTGTAGAACTGATCATTCTGTTTATTTTGTAATTGCAGTCGAATCTGTATGTGCTGTATGAGCATGCAGCTGGCTATGCCTTGTTCTCCGTAAAGGAGTTTGAGGAAGTTTCCATGTTCCTGCCACAGGTCGAATCCTCGGTCACCGACATAGCCAAGTTCAATTCGATTGTGAAGTTGGCTGGCTTTTCGCCCTTTAAGACGGCCGTCGCCGCGTTGGAGAATGTAAATGCCATATCCGAGGGCATTGTGCCGCAGGATTTGATTAATTTCCTCGACGATTTCTTTGCAAAGCTTAAGAAAAAGAAGTGTACCTTGGGCTTGGGTGATTCTAAGCTGGGTGCTGCTATTAGTGAGGCAATTGGTGTACAGTGCAGCCATTTTGGTGTTGTACCCGAAATTTTGCGCGGTGTACGCTATCATTTCGCGAAATTGGTCAAGGGTAAGTAATAAATGTTGTCATCTGAAAGAACTTATATAAATTTTTGCTTTTACAGGCTTTACGGATCAGTCAGCGGGCATTGCACAGCTGGCCTTGGGCCACAGCTACTCGCGTGCTAAAGTAAAGTTTAATGTGCATCGTTCGGACAACATGATAATTCAGTCGATTGCGCTGCTGGATCAGCTCGATAAGGACGTGAACACCTTTTCGATGCGTATACGTGAGTGGTACTCCTACCACTTCCCAGAATTGGCCAAAATTGTACCAGACAATTATATGTTTGCCAAAACTGCCAAATTCATAAAAGACCGTAAGACACTGACCCAGGATAAACTTGAAGAGCTAGAGCAAATTGTTATGGACTCTGCTAAAGCGCAAGCCATTATCGACGCAGGAAAAATGTCTATGGGCATGGATATATCCATTGTGGATCTGATAAACATTGAATTATTTGCTACACGCGTTGTAAATCTATCGGAATATCGTAAGAAATTGGCTACGTATCTGCACAACAAAATGAACCTTGTAGCACCGAATCTGCAGTCACTGATTGGCGACCAGGTAGGAGCTCGCCTCATTTCACATGCGGGCAGCCTGACCAATTTGGCCAAGTATCCTGCATCCACAGTACAGATTCTGGGTGCGGAAAAGGCGCTTTTCCGTGCACTCAAGACGCGATCCAACACGCCCAAATACGGTCTTATCTATCACTCATCGTTTATTGGTCGTGCCGGCCTTAAAAACAAAGGACGCATTTCCCGTTTCCTGGCCAACAAGTGTTCGATTGCATCACGTATCGATTGCTTCCTTGAACAGCCGACAAGCGTGTTTGGCGAAACGTTAAAGCAACAGGTGGAAGATCGTTTGAAATTCTACGAATCTGGCGATGTGCCACGCAAAAATATTGAGGTCATGAAAGAGGCCATGGAAGCTGTAGACCAGGAAGTGGCAGAAGTGGCCAAATCCGAGAAAAAAAAGAAGAAAAAGAAGCGAAATGCGGATGATTCCGTTGTTCAGGCGGAAACTAATGGAAAAAGCAATGGAAAAGTAGAAATCGAAGCTGAGGCCAAGAACGGTGATGCTGATGGTGAGCCTAAAAAGAAGAAGAAAAAGAAGAAGAATAAGGGAGCCATCGAGGCGTAATAGTCACAGCCAATGTGAAGCCACCCTACATAGTTTTAGATTAAAATACCTTTAGGTATCTTTTGCAGACTATGAAACACACTTCATAGAATTTTTACGATCATGTAAGCCTAGGCTATGACTTAGACTTAGTGTTCTGTCTATGCCCAAACATTAATAATTTTCAATAATTAAAAGCTTACCTTGCTTGGTAAACGGATTCGGAGAAATGTCTAGATAAAGGTCCGAAAAGGCTTGGCCCATACTGATCGAAATTCCATTTCATAGTCTGACCAGATCACTAATACTACTTTTATGCATTTTTATAGTACTATAAGCCGTGAACACATTTTGCTGTTTGGCTTGACAATATTCTGTATTCAATATCCCCGCAACTTTATTTCAACAGACCTTAACTGTAACAATAAAAAGTCAGACGTGACATATAAAGTTTATCGTTTTATTTTTACACACTTTTTTATATACACATACATGTAATATTTTAACTATTGCTAATTACTGTTTCTCATTATGATTAATTTGCTTTTTAACAATTTCGGTGTGAGCCCTCAAAAGTCGCTCGTTCAGCCGTCCGTCCAACTGTTGTGCTAAAAAATATCGTTTAGTACAACCATTTTTTGTTTTTTCTTCTACTATAATTTATGACAACTTTTAAAGACACGCTTTTAAATTCCGGGAGGACAACAATAGGACGGATATATGGAATTCGTTTCGTTCGCGTTTGCGGAAATTGCAAGAAATTAAATTAAATAGCGCGTGCAAATAGACAGTTTTTAATAGATAATAATAATGGAATTGTTTATATTGTTTAACAATAGGTACATAAATTTAGCAACAAATTCAATTTACATACGTTTGTTACAAAATACAACGTTCTATATGTGGAAATGTTTGCTTAAGGGGATCGGTATAGGGGTACGTGGAAGCTATTTGTGTATATAGAGAATGGAAAGAATAGAATTAGGCTACCAAATATCATTGAAATAAATCAAACGCTGATGAGTTGTTATTATTATTATTGCTGCTGCTGTGATGCTGCGGTTGTTGTTGTTGCTGGAACGCGTTCATTGCACTAAAATTAGCAAATGCTGCCGGCTGAGCCTGAGTCTGTTTCTGTGGAATGCTTTGTGTGCCAAAAATATTTGCACCCGGGCTTATCATTGGCGAGAAGCCGCCGCTGGAGGCACCCCCCAGACCAACGCCAGTGGTTTGCACACTAAGGGGTGTTTTGGCAGGACTTTGAGTTTTCAGCGCATTCATCGAGGGTGCGGGCGCATTTGATTTGCCCGTTTTGCTGATCAGCAAATTATCCAGATCTATGTTTAAATTTCCCGCCTTCAGATTGCCCGACCAAGTGGCGCCCACATTTGTGGCTTGTGTTGCTGTATCGTTGGATGCAGCGCCATTTGTATTGCTGCCATTGTTGTTGTTGTTGCCGCTATTGGATAATGCAATGGGCTGGAGAAGAGTATTGCCCGTGACGGCGGCAATGGGCGGCAACATGTTGTCTGTAAAGAGAGTGACCAGATATAGGTATTGTGTGAGCGAAACAATCGCAAATGATATTTGAACAAATAGTTAATGAATTGGGATTTTCAAAAAAGCAAGTGTGTGCTGTGCGAGAGTGCATGTGCTCCTAATTATTGGACTGTGTAGTAGAACCTTAAAGGCCGCAATTTCAATTTTAAATTAAATAGTTTTCCTTTAATGCCCCCCTTAAGGCAAACAATTCTTTAATGTGCTGTTATAATCTTTCTGCTGTGAAAGTTAAGTAAACCTTTCACAACTCACAGAGCATGAATTAGCGATATAATTCATTCGTTTTTATTAACAAATTGTGCAGTATGCTTTTCTCACCAGTCTTGATTGCCAATTGCTATTCAGAGATCAAATCATGTTTTTGTTATCTTTAAAGAAAAAACATTTGAAAAGCCTCCATTTGAAGTGGGAGGACGGACAAAAAGGTTCGCAAAAATTCCATTACACAGTCCAATTTGGAAAAATGCTGATACTAATTACTAAGCGATTGATGGATGGTGCTTCATTATTCTGGATGATAATGCTTTCGAGTTGATATGTGAGCGCAAAGCGGTCGGCAGAAGCGTTGATAAAAAGAAAACGAGCCATAAACTGCAAATACGCAACTAAATCTACAATATTGTTTAAATATGTTGTTCTTGTTGTAATATGTATTAGATGTTGTTTTTACCTAGTGGGTCCGCGGTTGAGGCACAATGCCTGGTATATTAAGAAACGCTTTTAAAACCGATTAAAATTAGTGATATCGCAGTAAAATGTTTAAATTGTTGTTTTATAAAAATAATATCCGAATCGTGTGTTTGCAATAAATACGTATGCAGTAGAAAAAATAAAGATAAAAGAAACAAATTGTTGTATACAAATTAAATGTTGTTAATACCTGCGATATTAAAACTATTTTTTTAATGCTGTTAGAATTGTACAAGCTTTGTTTTAAAGTACAGACAAAAGCTACATATATATATGTACATATGTATATATTTCACAAATATGTGCAAAAATTGATACAATTTTTAGTTCTATAATATACTTGTACAGTATGTATGTATGTATTTGAATTGTTCAAATCATGTTTTTTGTCCCGATATTTAATATTGATATTGACAAGCCAATGCGCACAATTGCGCAAAACTAAACTAAACGCTATAGAATTGTTCTGATTCTGATCTTAGACATAAAGCTCCTTAAGACTCAGCTGCAGTCTGCTGCTGCACAGCCGTATGGAACAGTTGGTAGCATGTGCCTACAATTTGTTCGGCCAGTTCGCGGCATTCATCGGATGTTTCCCCACCCACTAGCGGCGACTTGATGCAATCTTCCATCCAATGTTGCAGTTCGTTTAGCTGCTCGGGAAAGTGTGCCACCAGCACAGAGGCTGGCAAGGTAACCAGTGTAATGCCCAGTAGTTGCAATGTAGCTGCCCTCACCCGGGCCTCCTTGTTGTATCTTACAAATATGCAAAGATCGAAGACCTCATTCGCCATGAGAGGCAAGATCGGACAGTTCTGCGCGCACATGATGAAGACGGCCAAATCGTGTAGAAGATTCACCAAGAGGAGCGTGTCAATGTCGTGGCAGATGTTCTCGTACTTAATATAAGCCATTTGGCGCGTACGTTGACCGCGCACGAGCCCGAAAAAGAAAGTCCCTGCCACAGAGTGGAAGCGATTCGGCTTTCCCGTCGACTCTGTTTTGGCTTTGCTGGCATAGCGTTTGGTTTTGGCACGCAGTCGTTCTCTTATAATGCACTGGGCAGCGGCCAAACGCACCGAGGGCGCATCGTCGGCATCGGAAAACTGAAATTTACGCGGTAGTTTCGCAGCCGGCGGCATAATGTCCATAGCTTCCGTTGCCACATTTTCAGGTTCTGCGGTTTTTATGTCTGCCAACTCTTTGGCAGTCGCTGCCAGTACCTGGAGCATGAGTATCCGTTCATGGGCATTATGTTTTGTGTTGTCTGTGTGGAATTCGCGACAGATTTGTTCGGCACAAGCGGCCGGTTGGGCCACACAAATGGCCACACAGCACTGGAATTTAGTGCGCTCGAAATTCTCGAAATAGAATTGCATGTCCAGGCTTAGGAAAACGGGCAGCAGCTCCAACGCCACTTTGACGTCATGCTGCGACAGTTGAGTGCGTATTAGTTGCTCCGCCGCACTTAAAGCGCCTTCGAATATCTGATAGTTTTCCACTTTGGTACGCAGCAGTTCCAAAAGATCTAGTAGGAATTTGGGCCGGTGCTCCAGCGTAGTGCTGATATCATTGGACATATCATAGGCTGGCAGATCATCCTCATCATCAACATCCGCTCTTTGATCAGACATTGGCTCATCGTCGTCTGAGTCCAGCTGCATGTTAATTTTATCCACTGGCCTCTCCGCTGGCTTTGCAGCGGGTTTACTTGCTGTTGAAACCTGTTCCCTCTCGCCCATTAAATGTTCCATGTTCAGCTGCCACTGCTTTACTTGATCCTCAGTTGGTGGCTGCTCCAGCATTGCCTTTTTTCCTATCTTAAATTTTGCCAACTCATCGAGCTCGTTAAAGATGTGCCAGTGTGGTGTTTGCTCCATAGCCGAGTAGTCAAATCGCAGACTATCCTCGTCTTTGGCGTCCGCGTGCCCCATGCAATTGTACAATAGCTCGACTGTCTTTATGCCCACGTGCCGCTGCACTGCATCCGGCGACTCCAAATGATGCATGAGGCCGTCGTGCAGCTGAATCTTCTGTGGGGGCTCCAGAGCTTTTTCCTGCCCTCCATACAAACAGCATCCACACAAGAGGAGCACCTTGCTGATGGCTAAATGCTCTTCACTGCTCAATTTTTGCAACGTCGAGCGTTTAGACCAAATTCCCAGAAGTTGAGTGAAAAGTTTATTCAACTGCACCGGCTTCGCTGCTATTTGAAAGTACCGCATAAGTGCTAGAAGTGCTCCATTGAAGATAGGAATACGTTGGAGTGGCAATTTCTGTAGGAAACAATGATTCCAATGTGCATCTTCTATAGCTGTGGGTCCGATCAGCACATAGAGATTTAGCTGTTGATTTAGTGCACATTGTGCTAAACGGAAACAAACAGCCGGGTCTACTTCCCTCATAATGCGCTGCACTGCATCGCGTGCTCTTGGAGACCATGCGTAGCCCTCTAGCAGCTTCAGCAAGCACTCCAAGGTACACGTATTTTCTCCATCTGCATAGAAATGTGTCACAAATCGGGACAAGAGCAAACTGTGTGCCTGCAGATCGAAGTATGTTGTGGGATTGTCGCACTGTAGCATGAAGTGCAAGGATTTGAGCCATTGCCGCATTAACAGCTGCCCGTAATGGGCAGGCGCAAAAATTTGAGGCATCTGGCGACCCATACGATTCCCCACAAAACTGGGCAAAGCGATCAGCAATTGAAAATATAGTTCCACCTGGGCATCGTGCTTATCCAGCTCATAATTGGGACATGCAGCATTTTGTTTTAAAGTGCTTCGTTCTATGGCAATGTGGAGCAAACTAACAGCCAACAGTTGTTCATCTTCGAGCAGTGAAGTAAGGATTGAGGAAGTTGTACTGGGCACCCTTGCTAGCTCCCGCTGTAGGGCTTCAAAGGCAGTCAAAGTGTAACCAAAACTATAATCGAGCTTAAAGAGATTCACAGCAATTGCATCATCCTTCGTATCCGGCCATTGGGCGTTGATCAATCTGCAGATCTCCTCAAGTAATGCGGCATATTCATTGCTGGCCAATACGTTCCAATCTACAAGTGCTCGATCCAATCCCACGATCTGCTCTGGCGTTGTAAAGCCTGGCAGTGCATTAGACAATTGCAGTTTTCGCAATATATTTCCGATTGAATTGGCATCCGCGGTACAATTGATGAAGGAAATAGCGCGTAGTTGTGAAATGGCCGTGTTCAGTGCTTGACGCACTGGCTCTGGCAACGGCAAGGCAACTGCCATATCTGGTTCCGCTGGCCCCGATTCTGTTTCGGGAGCTGCTGCGAAGAACATGGAGGAGAGAGAAGAGAAAGAGAACGTGTGCGTCCGATTGGAATTTGTTGCCGTTATCGTAAATTAGCGGAAGATTAACACAAATAGAGAAGGAAAGTGGGTGATAGTCAGGGCGCATTTTCATGCATCAAATTTTTCACTTGGACACCCATTAATCGATTGGCACTACATTAACTAAAATCAAGCCCTACATAAATCCTATTTGTTTGAGATCTACAAGTGTCCTTCGACTTTTGTTAAGCATATGGAATTTACATGTGGGATTACAAGTATGTTACTCACCCATGGGCATGCTTTGGTGAATGGATAGATCGCCTAGGCCGGCCAACAAATCCGTGGCTGTGGTTGCAGCAAGAGGTGACGTCGCTCCACCCGCCCCTGTTCCCGTCGCCGTCGTCGCACTGAACAAATCAAAAGCATCATTTGCTGGCGTAGCTGTGGCCAATAGTTGGCCGTCCAGCCCAGAACCGCCAGCGACTGTCGACAGCGTTGTTGAGCCTTGAAATGCAGAAAAATCCGCAAATTCATCGTTGCTTGGGGATGATAGAATGCCAGTCGAGGGAGCTTCGCTGGCAGATGTCGCTCCACTCCCAAAAGCCGTTGCAAAATCACCAAATTCCTGAGCAGGCGCAGTATCCGCCCTTGGATTAAAATCTTCATCGTCCACAATGACAGCAGCACTGTTCAACGTCTGCTCTCCATGTGTTGGTGAACAGGTTTTGAATAAATCATCCAACAGATCATTGTTATTGCTTTTGTTGCTGCTGTTGTTATTGTTGCTATTGTTGTTTGGAGAGCTGCCGCCCATTAGATCAGCACTAGTGGGCGAATCTCGATGCGTGGGTGAATGAATGCCAGCGGCACTGACGGGTATCTTTCCAAAATTGGCCGCAGCGCCCAAATCTATTTTCTTTGAACCCGCTGAAGATTGCTGTTGCGATTGCTTGCCAGTACCTCCAGCAGTTGGTTGTTTGGAGACCGGCGAGGTGACTGCCTTGGAGCGTATGTTCATATTGAGGTTATGGGTTTTCGTTTCACTCGCTACTTCCGCAGGACTGGCACGATCATTATAGCGATAGTTGCGTCTATTAATATACAACAAAAAAACAAATTAGTTGTCTGACGTATAAAAAAAGTAAATGGACTATTAAACGTCAACCTAATATCCGCATTATATAAGTTGTATCAGAGTTTAGTTTTATGTGTGGTTATTATTATTATTTTATTGTTTATTTTACATTTATACCTGGGACTAGGTGAATCACTATCGCTTCCCTCACGTTCGCCATCGTAGTGAGTATCCTCGTCTTCATAGCGATCGGCAGCGCTCTTATCCGAATCTGTAAAAGATGTTCAGAAATGTTTAATATAGTATGTAATATAAATAAACATTATTTAACTGTTTACTTACACCAATTATCGCCACGATTAGCACGCCAATCGGCATCATTATAACCACTGCCCCCGCCTCCACCACCACTGTAGCCGCTGTATCCACCAAAGCCACCGCTTCGCATACCCGTGGCATCACTACTCATGCCAATGTACTTGTCTTTATTCTTTTTGGCCTTTTTTCGCTCCTCACGCAAACGATCATCGTCCTGTATAAAGTCTATAAGCTCTCGTACCTTATGTCTAACATTAACGCCCTGATCCTTGCCTCCCTCATCGGTGAAAGTGTAATTCTCCAGCGAGCGCAAATCGTAAATATGCTCACGCGATGACGTCACTACACGCTCAGAACCATTGCGCACCAGATAATTTAATAGCAATAGGCTCTGTAGATAAGAAATTGTAATAGTTTACTTAGATAGTTGGCTAGATTGTAGATATCTATCACTTCAAATGTTTATGTACATTACGACACCAAAAAAATATACTCTGGTATAATATTGTCAATTAGGAATGATCTTTTGAAAGCTACTTAATTGGAGGTTTAATAGAAACTGATAATCATTTTTAAAAATTAGATTGCAATTTTTCTTGTCTTACATCTTTAATCCTATTATAAAAGCATTTTAATATAGTAAAACCCGCTTCACTTACCTTGTAAGTGCGTCGCCAATTGGTTTTATTGTCCTGCAGCATGCGTTTCCACAGCATCGACATGACCTCGGGAAACGTTTCATACGAAAAGGTTGCATGCGCCAGTTCTTGCATTAGGGGTCCCGTTGGACCCCAGGGATCGTCATTGGTTGCCTCGCGCACCTTACCCTCGATTTCTGTGTAGTTCATGACGACATTGGTGCTGTGGGCAGTTTTTTGTTCAACAGATTAGCAACAGTTTAAAAAACGATAAATTGTGCAACGTGTCAACGAGGCCTAAAAACTTTTCAACATTATGCGTTTGTTTCGGCTTGATTGACAGCCAAACGTGCTACTTTTAGCAAGTTGCGCACATCTTATCAGTTTTTAGATAAGCGTGAAATGTAAACTATAGGTTTGCATAAGCTTTTTCAATTACAAGATTGACTAAAATGTTGGAGAGAAATTTGTTTTAAAAGGCAAGCAGGGACGGAAATGAATTCCGTTTTAGTACTCCAAAAATTGGATTTCCCATTACCATATAAGCAAGCAAACATACACAACTACTTATGTACTCGTATGTATGTTTGTGTAGTTATGTGAAGGGGAAATATGTACATACATACATATATAGACTCTCTTCAATACATAGAACTAACAATATGGCAATGCGTTCGGTGGTATTATAATTCATTTTTAATGAAAACGACGTTTCATTGGAAGGTGGCAAATAGAAGCAGCTAATGTGGGCTCAGGTGAGGAAAATACATATGTATATATGTACATATTTTCATATATACCGACATACGTGTATACATGTATATATGTAATAAGTGTATTCGAGAAACGCTAAACAAACAAAATGTTTTCGTGATAAAAAGCGCATATACAAGCAAACTTATTATATATAGTAAGTAAATACAGACATGTGTCCGTGTAGTGGTATGTGCGGCATGCCTCCTAGTTGGCGCTTGAAATGACACACGTACACACAAACAAATATATTTAAATGTATGCAAGTACATTTGTTGTACACTTGTACATTCGTATGTATCTATAAGACCTGATAAAACATAATAAACGAACAACCTTGAAAGTCACAAAAGCAGTAGTAACAAAAGCAAAAAAAATACAAAGCGTGTCAACGTTAATCGTTGTTCCATAAATAAGGAAAAAACCAAAACCATTTTACTTTCAGGTAGAGATGGACCTGCAACAGCAGCACCTGTGCGTCTATCAGTGGGTCACAGGGGGCTGCGGCCGACAGCACGAGTTTGTGTCGATAGGTGCGACGGGCGTGGGAGTGCCATGCCACTTGACACATATGTATGTAGTGTTAGATTCATTCAATATTTTCATATTATATACATATTATGCATTTATTTTCACTGGTAAAACTTACACTTTGTCCGCCAATTCGCGCACCTTCCACATGCTGATAAATTTATCAACCATTTTGGCTGCTTTTGTTGCAATTTAATGTTAAATTCACTTTTGCTGCTTTGGAATTTTTCACACAAGCTTGCCAAATCGCAGGCAGGAAGCGCATACAACCAGTTTATTGTTGTATTTGTAACTTTTCTCCGATTAAAGAGTCACATGGAAATTATACACCTTTTTTGCCGTCACGATTGCGTGCACCTTGCACTCGGATTGAGAAATAATAAGCATAAAATTGAAACGAAAATATATAAAAAGAAAATTTTGTTAAACCACGGCAGCAAGACTTTTTTGGTGAGCTGTCCGTCCCCACAGTGTTACCACACTATCTTTTTGGCTAACAACTGGCTGCCACTGGAACTACAGTGCTGTAAAAGGCCAGTGCTGCAGTCGGGGTGTCGCGTTTCGCAGCACTAGAATCAGCTGCCGCTGCCGTCATCTGTGGATTCCAATAGGAAAGGTTTATTAAATTATTATTTCATTAAAGGAAATACAAGTGATTTCACATAAAACATAGCTCGTATTTACAAACATCAACTTTAAAGCTGGCAGAGTGCGATGTTACTACGTTAACTGATACTTAATGCATGCAAAAAATGTAAACAAAAAGGTTATGTAAACTTTTCGGTCTTACAGCGTGAAGATTAGTCTCCAGCGAGACCAGGAAATCAGTGGGAACATAACTGAAAATGTTGGGACTACAGCGTTTTGCCGGATGTTTGGTTACACAGTTATACCGACGGGCCGCCTACAGCAGCAATGCACGTGCGGCGAGCGCTGCATTGGCAACGGCGGCCACCAACGGTCAGGGCGCAGATGTACCGGAAACTCGTTCGCCGGCTGCTGAGACGAACATTAAGAAACCAAAAGGTAAGATTGTGACTTGAAGAGTGGCTTTATTATAGCTAAATTGAAACCGTTGCAGGCCAAATGGTTGCCGCAGTATTTGAATCGCTGAAAAATCAGGATGACCTGAGTGTGAAGACATCAGACATCGGGAAGAAGAGTGCCACTGCCGCTAACAGCTTAGATGAACGTATTGTGAATGCAAAAACGGTGAACGGGCTGTTATCGATCACGGAAAACAATGGTAGTTTGTCACGTAAGCAAGCCCTGCAGATAGTCTCAATCCTGGCTGAATGGAGCACAATAAATCGTGTGAAGATCTCAGAGTTCGAGAATGATTCGAGGTTCCTGCGCATATGCCGTATGCTGGGTCGTACAGTGCCCAAGAACGGTAAAAATGCGGGCGAAACTGCTGCGGCTAACCATAACGCTAACAACAATGGCGACTTAAAACGTATCTCGGGATTTCGTACAGACGATCTAAACACTGTGCTTGGTGTCGCTGGGGACGATGAAGCTGCTAAACTGATTGCCAGCATTAGTCTGCCGCAAATGGTGAAGGTGATGAGCGCACTGGCGCAACGAAAGCGTCGTAGCACTCCCCTGTTACGGTCGTTAGCCTTTAACATAAGCAGCGCCTCCGATCAGCTTGACCTAAAACAGGCAGGGGATATCCTGTACGCCATGGCAACGCTTAACTTCCAGGATTCAGTTCTGGGCGCAAAGGTGTGCGCGGATGTTCAAGTGGCTTTGCCAAAGAACACGGAGAAATCGGCTGTTGTGGGCTCCATCCTCACAAGTCTAGGCATATTACGTTACCGTGACTTAGGTGGGTAGCATTATATTACCAACCCGCTTTTTATTCATAACCCTCATTGCAGATATTTTGGAAGCATTGACGCAATGGTTGCTGAAGAACGCTGAAATTTGTCGACCGCAGGATCTCGGCGCTTACTTTCTTACAGCAGCCCTTTTAAACTTTAAAAGCACACATTTAGAGGATGTGCGAAACAAATTAGTAAAATCTATTGTCCGCGAGGATTTCACAAAAAATGGAGATTGGCTTAATTATGTCTGGTCGCTTTCGCTGCTTGGAATTTTAGATAACAGTCAGTTGAATACGGTATTAAGGTTGGTATACTCCTCCCTTACTTCAGCAAAGTATCTTGATTGATTTTTTTTGTTAATTTCAGCTCGGAGTTCGTGGAAAAGTTAAAACAGGACAAACCCGGCCTAACACCAACGTTAAAAATGAGGCTATTAAATCTAAACAGCTATGCCCGGCTGTTTCTTACAGATTACAAAGGCGCGCTACTTCCTGCCGATAGTCCTGCCTATGATGTGCCTATGGCACATACGAAATCAAAACAAATCCTAGTGAATGGCATGCTGGATGCTCTTAAGAGTCTGCTACCAGCTAGCAACCACTTGCAGAGCTCAGTGGACAGTAAAATGGGGTTTCTTATAGGTAAGAGAGTAAACTTTCACAAAATACACTCAGATTTATATGAAATTTAACTTATAGATGCGCTGTGCTACTTCGATGAAAAGAGAAATCCACTGCCCTTGGATAAGGAAAACCCTAACGCAATTAGGTAGAATCTTATTACCTAGACATTACAACAAACTAATCGATTAATTTTAGAGTGGCCCTGATGGTGATTGACTTTCATGATATATGCCATGGGACGCATCGGTCGGGCAGCGGCTTAACGAATCTAATGTTCGATCTACTAGAGAAAAGCGGCTATAAGGTTATTGCTATACCTTATAATGAGTTCAGTACCAGTGACAAACTACTAAAGCGAGTCCAGTATTTGGAAGCTAAATTTAAAACCGTTGTTAGTAGCAAATAATTTCAGTTTTAATTGTTTTATAATTATCTTTGTAAAATTGTATCAAATTAAACAGTTTTTGATTAATATAATATAATTTTTACGTAGATACTGAATTACACAAAATGTAAAAACAGACATTCTTTGTTTATAAAAAGAAGTGCATTGCTTTTTTTTTAGCACCCATATAATACAGCACCCAATAAAACATTAAGCAAATAGTTCATTTAGATAGGCAGAGAAGGTGGCGATTAATTAATCATACATTAATTAAGATTCATTTGAAACCCCCTTTTAGGTGCATGCATGTATCGTAAACTATTAAATGTCGAACTGGTAAAACAAACAGCGAACAGACCGAACGTTGTTCGTGTTTAAAATCTAAAAAATGAATGCACGCAATTTAAATATTTTCTTTTCTTAATCGGTTATATTGTTCTCGATATTTTCCTTGTGTTAATCGAACTCGCATGTCGTTTTCTGTCAAACTTATTCAAGTTCCGTTGTCAAAGAAGGCATTTTAGTAGAGCAAATAATTTTAGCAATGGCTGGCGCTAATGTGGTAGAAACTTTTGAGATGTCTTTTATTGAAGATTATCCATTGGAGTCTCAAAATGTTCATGCAGATTTCCCCAGAACCGTTCCTAGGGAGATGTTGTGCTTTTATAGTAATCTGTTTAAGGTAAGCGTCTGTGTATTGGTGCGGAAAATGGATAGCAATTTTTTTTTCACCTTCGTACAGCGTGAGTTGGAGAACAATCCCAACAATTGCGTATCTATCCCAGAAGGCATAGACTCGGACATTTTTTTTCATCTTGTGGAGATGATGTATTCTAGCCCAGTGGTCGTCAACGTGTTTGTAGCCGAGAAAATCATTGAAGCTCATCGCATTATCGAATCGGAGATACCTTTACGCATATTGCTTACCGACGTCGGCACAGAGCCTGTGAGCTTAAGTCATATAGGGTTTGCTACCATTAACGAAGTAGATGCTATGATTCTGAAACTAACAGCCTGGGTCAACGAAATGAGTTTCAAGAGAGAAATGATACTCGCGCATATCCAGAAACTTCGTGTTGCTCGCAATGAGGCAGAATCTGCTGCAGTTGAGCCGGAGAATGTCAACCACCCATAAGGGTACGAAAGATTAAATAGATTTTGAAGTATTTGTATTTAAATAATGGGTTTGCCTTTATTAGCGGATTGAAACACATCTTTACAACTGGCTGGCGAACATACGGAACTCGTGATCAGGCAGGCGTAAGATGCAGATATTCATTAAAATTATACTGATTTAATAAAACTTGACGGAAGAAATGTTAAACCGCATTTAGGTCGCTTGTTCGCTGCTTATTCATGCCCACTTTCCACCACTGACCGGTCTCCTGGAATTCGGTGGCCACGGCTGCCAAAGTATGGAAGGAGCTACGTGCTAACATGTGACGATTGCCGACCTCGAGTATTAGCTTTGGATCGTATACCTTCTCGAGGTCAACAATTTTGTAATGATCCCGCGTCTCCTTTTCGGTCAGGCAGACACAGTTCCATGGAGACCATTCGTCGCTTTTCAGCCAGCGAGGCAATCTGTTATATTTGTACATAATGTATAAAACTATAATGGTTAAGTGCTGAAGACTTACCGCAACTCGCTAATGTCCTCGCATTTGCTCAGTATCGAGTGGCCGTGCCAGATCTTGTCTATAATATGACGCACATCATCCGGTTGCAGGACAAAAGCAAATGATGTGGCACATTTCCGCTTGCGCTCGTCACGTTGAATGCAACGTAGTATGGATTGGTAGACAGTGTTCTCCGTTGCCACCAGCTTTTAGAATATAATTATGTGACTGGCTGGCAGTCCAAGTTTAAAGAATAGAGCAGCGGGACTTACCTTCAAGTAGTAGCAATGCTTGCACGTATCTACGTGACTCTGCCGCGTCCGAATAGCGAACTGCGCGTAAGGCTTTACCTTCTTGCATACCATGCACATGCGCGATGGTGTACCTGCATTGGAAATCATAATAACATGTTAAATATGTTCAGCTCAACGGGGACATTCTCACGTTTTTCCGGCTCCTTTTTCTGAAACTTGATCAGATCGAAGAAGAGAATATTTTGTCGTTTGCGCAGTATCTCCGTGTCACTAGACTTGGTGTACAGCAACAGATTCTTCTCGCGCTCAAAAAGATCGAAAAGCTGCGGGAATTGAAATAAAATATGTTTTAATGGATCTCCAGGATCTACAAGGAGCCAAAAGACAGCTACCGACTAGATAGAGCATAACAGATTAGACTAGAATAAATCTTCGTTCCAGTTCAACTTTTAGTCTAGTATAAGAAGTTATTTATAAACTCTAAACTTTATTTTATCAGGTAAAGTTAATGGTTTCGTTTACCTCCGGAAAACTTGGAAAGCATGTCTCCTCAGCAAGCAATTCCATTACACTTCGTATTAGCTCCAGACGTTTATCCTTGGCCAGCGGCTTGTTCAAATCCTTAAAGACTTCCGTGAGAAACCGCACGCGCTGAGTTCGAAGCAAATCCAAATGTATCTTGCAGTCCTTATAACCAATCCATTCGATTGGCTTTCCTAATTTTTTCAGCAATTGCTCCTTGCGAAAATCCTCCATAGCATTGTAAACGAGACGTCGTTGCCGTTCGACGCCATTAAGCAGCTGTATTTCCTTGTCCAGCAATATGTTTACCTCCGATATGCGGGCCGGACCTTCATATAGCCTCGTTATCCGCTGCAGTTCTGCGCGCTTCCAGCGCCCCACCTCAGCATACAGCAAATCAAAGTCATCCTTAGTGCGTGGGAATTGCTTTATGAGCTGCTGTCGCTCCACTCGCTGTTCCACGCACTCCTTATAGCGTTGCTCCTCCTCCTCGCGATTATGGACCAAACGCCTGTGTTGGGAGGAGAAATATTTTTGGTTTCAGCCCATTCTGGTGCTGCATCCTTCAACCTACCGGTACTCCTTGGCGCGTATGTGTATGTATTTCCACAATATCCAGCGGCGCCAGTTGCGCTGTATCAGCAGAATCTTCTCAAGCTTACGCTCAGCGCGTTCCTTTTGGGCATATGTCTGATACTTGCCCGGTACGATGACAAAGTCCGTAGCCGAGGACAGGTACCGCATATTAATGCCGTCAAGAAAGCATTGCGAGGCTTGCTCATGGGCCGTATTCTATGAGGTGGACATTACAATATAAACAGTATATAATAGGAATTACAGATCTTACCAAAGTTTTCTCTTTCTTATCCCATGTCTGCGTGTCACGTGTTCTATAACGTCTATACTTCCACTTATCGAAGTACGGGCCCGTTTGTGTAAACGCATCCAAGTACTCCTTGCCGCTTATTTTGTCTCTGTAGCCGCAGAGAAATGGCTTGATAATTGCCTTGTTTTCAATTTCCACCACAACGTTCTTCGGCTGCCCATCCTCGGTATTCTCGCCTGGTATGTGCACGGTAATGAAATCGGGCAAGCGAAATTTACTAAAATGATAAGAAATATACGTTGCAAGAATGCAAAGAATCTCAGAATATATTTAGGATTATATAAACTGAAGTCAAGCACTTGGAATAACATTTCACTCCAAAGCCAAAAGCCCATGGTTTTGATACCCTGTACCCAAAGTGTGTGGCACACCACCCAAAGTATATATACTATATTATTGATCAGGATGACAAGACGAGTTGTTCGTCCGTCCGTATGAACGCAAGGATCTCAGAAAGTATAAGAGCTAGAACAACCAAACTTGCTATCCAGATTCTCCTAAGATCGAGAAAGTACGAGTTTGAGGTTTCTTTAGATGCACCCACCCACTCCCCCGCAATTCGTGTTTTTCCCATAACTCCCGTAATTTTTGGAATTTGGAATTAAAATTTTGTTATTACATTCAGTTAGTGATTATGTGTTAAATTTCACCATGATTGGTCAATTCTGAAGAAGTGATAGCCATAAATAAACTCGCCCATGCTCTCCCTGCAGCTCTCCCTGCAGCTCTGCCCGCAGCTGTTGTTGTTGTTGCTGCTTTGGTTTAACTTTGTGCTGCATGCATGTATAAACACGCAGAGACACGATTCTGAAGTAAATTTATTCTATTGAAATTGTACATAAACACTTATGTATGTATGCATGTGTTGAATATTTTATATTTAATTTAAGTAATTAGTTAAATTTAAAAATCAATTTTTTTTAAATTGCCTTTTTTGTGGAGAGTACAGGGTATTCTACTGCCGGGCTTGCTCGACTGTAGCGTTCTATCTTGCTTTTTTTTTGTGTGCGGACGCTTTGGTATACAGATTAGAGTTTATATTTCTGCGAATTAATATTTTGAATGAAGACAATTAATTTGTTTATTAAACAGTTTAAAAAGTAAACTTCTGTAATTAATGGAGGAACACATATTCATATTCAAAAAGTTTTTCATACACAAACTCTTTTTAGGTCATATTGTGTGTACGCCAGCTATTTGATAGAGTGATTTGAGAGTAGTGTAGTGATTTAAACTGAAAGATATACATCACAAAAAGTCAACGTAGCGTCGCTCCGAAATCCACTTTATGCGAGTTCGTTGAATTTTTCAAGTGCAAAAAATTTCAAGCCACGTCAATTGGGAGTTAAAGAGCAATTAAAAAGATTAAATATACATGTGCCAAGTCGAACAATCATTTTTTTTTAAATAAATTTTAAATAAATGTTAATGTTTATTTTTCAAAAGTACACTCACACACACAGAACCCTGGGGACGCCCCTCAACTTACTCATAGTACACGTTCAAATCCAATTTAGGCAAGGAGCCAATACTGCTAGAGCTATCGCCGACGATTCGGAGGCCCATCTCGAACTCGTGTATGCCGAATTGATCAGTTTGGCAAGAGTTAATGGCCAAGGCATCGCAAAGGAGTTGCTGCTTCTGCTTCAATATAATTAGTTCGGGGTCCACCTCGAACTTGCGCGAGATGTCCTGCTTGACCTCGGCAATGGTCATGTTGTTAGGGTAGACCTGGGCCACAACTTGCGTTTCGGAAATGCGAAACTTGACAGTCACATTCTCGAGGTCCACGCAACACTCCTCGGAATGCTCCGACTCCGTGCTGCGCTTTTCGTAGGGTGGTGGACAGGTTGGGGGCTCCTTGGGCCTCTCCGACGGATCCACATTCAGCTGAACGTTCCGCACATGCGAAGTGGGATACTTGGAGTCGCTCATTGTGTTTGAATATCAAAATATATATGCATATGTACGGTTGTGTGTAAATTCCAATTTTAACAATACAGTATAAAAGTGAACAAAAGCTTGGCAGCTTGCTCCGATTTGTGTAATTTTACAAGTAATGCCATTTAATGGAACATCGCGTCGTTTGGGGCAATTTATTCGATAAGTTTGTTAGCCATGGCTGCTAGGCGCCCTGTTGTGGCAACGCCCACGCCCATACTCATGCCTATACCCATGCCTATACCCATACCAATGCCCCCATTGGCTTCCTCAATGGCACACATTTGTTGCTGCTATGGCAGAAGAATTTGCCTGTTCAAATAAATTCTTGATGGCCAACACTTTTCTCACGCACTTCTTATTTACACGAATATTGTTTTAGTTTTTATATTTCTATTTCACTGCTCGACTCGTTGTCGGGTGAAAGCGCCACTCATCTAATGAACCTCCAGGTTTTGGGGCGCAATAAATTTGCATAAATTTTTTTTTTCTAATTACCCCAATTTCGGTTTCTTCCGCACTCTACCCACGGCTGTCTATTAATGCTGCCCATAATTAATACTTAACTGATGTTTTGCGAAATAAACCCTCTTAGATGTCAACACGTTGTTATTTATTGTATAATGTAATTGCCCAGCTGAGCTTGATGATGATTTAGTGGCTTGTGGCGCTAGTTTTGGATTGAAAGACAGCGGTGACAGTAATTACTTTTACTAAATGGTCTACTCACGAGTTACGAATATCTAAACACACATGTTTTACACAATCGCGGAAAGGTGAAAATTAATAACAGTCTATAGCTGTTACCGAATTGCTACCGAATGTCATTCCACAATAATGAAGTTGACTAATTTGGTCAAAGATTAGACCAAAAGGAACACGAAAATGTTAAAGACGATGTTTTGCTTGACAGACACTTAAACTTTGGAATCATTTAAATCTTCAACTTCGTCTGTTAACTAATTATGCATATTTTTGAGGTTTAAAGTTTTAAGTTGTAAATATTATATTTTGTTTCGTTGCTCATATTTGTAGTGTATTCTAATTTATAATCGAAGATTATTGGAAGGAATTGTTCGTTTATTTGCTTATGATTAAGAATAAAGATTGTAAACACACATTACTTGTGTTTCTTTCTAAGGGAATGTTGCTGTGAATAATCTTGTAAATTTATGAATCAAATTTAAATAATTTAATAATTTGAATTAGTTATTAATTAATTATTACAACAAGAATGGAATGTTAAGGTCGAGGGGGCCTAATTCTTAAATATCCTATACCCACCCACAACAAATATTATTTATTTTAATTAAAGTTTTCGGTAATTTAACAATCGACCTATCAAAATTAAACTTAACATCATGGCAGAAAAGGAATAGCTGGGGCAAAACATTCAAAGAATTACGGAAGTTGTGGAAAATTAATAATATTATTATTAATATAGTTATTATGGAAACACAGAAATTTATACTTTCCCGGTCTGAGGGGAGAATCTGGATACCAAGCTTGGTTATTCTACCTCTCATGCTTTCTGACAGACTCTTGGGAATGTTATGATGAAAACTTTTCATTTATTATTTGAAAAATTAATATATTAATATTAATTACAAATATTTTGAATAATTTCAAGAAGGCAGAACATAACATACTCAATGGATGATATCATTGAGCCAACACTTGAATGGCACTTAACTGTCATGACTGGTTGAGAATCTTCTGAAGAGAACTTTCACTTGCAAAGCTCTTAACCCATTTAATTCACTTAAATATTTATAATTACTATTTTGAGCAATTTAAGAGTTCGTGGCATATGGAAATTTGTTTAAAACTTGATTTTTCCTCGAAATAAAAACCAAAATAAGTAACAATATAAATCAAAGATGAACAGGAAAGGAAGGATTAACAAGAAAGTGGGCTGAATGGGCTGAAAGCATTAATATCCTGTACCCACTCCCATAAAAAACTACAAAAAATTGTTACAAAAAAATAACATTTTTAAATAGATAGAAGAATTAATTTAAAACCATTTAAATAGTGTATAAAGGCACTTTTGTGAACTTCCCTTTTCAAATCCGGTTATCTATATTTCAAAAGTTTCCCACTTCAATAAAGCTACGGGCAGACATGTAAATAATCTGCAGCCAGTACGCTGAAAAAGCAAATTAAGTGATCATTTGCAGTAGACATCTATATTTAGGTATAGAATTCCCATTGGTTTTAATTGAAATAATAAATAATAAATTCGTGACATGCTCGTACTTGTGAAGTTTGACAAATTATCAGCTTGTCCGCCCACACCTCAAGGCGACACGACTCGCCTTTCCCGCTATCGCAAACAACCACTAAATTAATCAAACCGTTCAGTGATCTGTGCTAACTATAATTATTAATAAATAATATTTTTATTGTAATACAATTTAGACTTAAGATTAAGTGGTGTGAGGGCGTGTCTACGCCCCGCATGTGCCACCTGCAGTCGGAAGGGGCGGCCATTGAAATAGTAGTTGTTGCTGTGGTGCTGCACCCGGAAGACCTGGCTCTCCAGGCTGTTCTGATGCTGGCCACCATGACTGGCCAGCGCAGGGTTCAGTTTAGCTGGGATCGGTGCCGTTGTTGTTGCTGGCGTTGTCGCGGTGGGCATGGTTTCCTGCATAATGGGCTTTATTTTCATGGGCTGGTAGTCGTAGCCAATGCCTGGTATATAGCGATAGGGCAGTGGTGGGACGGGTATGTAGTAGATTTTCGAATCCTTCTTCGTTTTCTTCGTTTTGCTGCCGTTCTTGTAGCGTCTCAGATTCAAAGGCTTCGATGTGACCACATAATCCTTATAGATGTTGTCCAACGGCGGACTTTGCACCAGCAGCTTGTTGACCAGTAGGGGCTTGGCGCTGGAGGCCGCTGTCATGTCCACGATGCTGCTCAGTGTGGGCATGGGTATGTTGTATGAGTAGGTGGCTGTAAAACGGGGCGTGGCAAGCACCATGAGTACTAGCAGCCAGCTAAAAATCAGTTGTGCCGGCGCAGGCATGCTGTAAAGAGAGTAATAAAGAAAAGAGATAGGGTCAGAAATTCACAAATACATATACAATATGTATGTATATAAAAAGCAAATAATTGTCAATAAAGCTGCGAAGAACGAAAGTGTCAATCGACATGTCCATGTCCATAAAAGTTCGCGACCAACGCCCACCTTTGAAATCGTTTTAAATGCGCTTGAATTGCTTCAATGCTTCAAAGTTTGATTGATGGGCCGGCCTGTCGGACAGTCTGTCCAAAAAGGGGCAAACAAACCTCAACAAATACATTGCTTTTCTGCCAGTCATATGCGTATAATTTAATACATACATTACAAAATAAATAAATCGTTTGCGCCCATCAAAGCGTGAAATATCTTACGTTAACGTCGCCTCGTATCTGAACAAATCTGCTCGATTCTGTGCAGTTTCTCACGTTCATGGGGACAGTTGGAAAAACGAAAACAAACGCGTTTTTTTTAAACACTTTTTATTTGCTATTCGATTTAAATAAACGTATTTAATGTGCGCTAATCAAAGCGCTCAATGCGCCAACGCTGCTGCCGCGCGCTGCTGATGTCGACGCAGCGTCGACGTTGACGTTGACCGAGCAATTAAGCTAATGAGCGCGGCAAGCGCCATCTGGCGGCGCAATATTTCAACGCTTCAGTGATTGATGAGCGTGCAAAACGAAATTGATTAAAAACAGCAGCCTAAACGATTTCGATTTAAAAACGACAAGCCTAATAATATGTTTGGTGGCCGAGGGGCTGAACCGACGGGGCGGGTCTAGACAGACACAAGCCTCTTCTTCTTCGCCCTGCTATGCAAATTTTTTATTCAAAAAAAAGTTCGTACATATTCTAAGCACTAGCCAAATATATATTTGATAGGTTCTATTACTTTAATGTGTCTATGTCTGGCGATTGCAGAAACGCCCTCGGAACCCCTTTAACCTCGCCTTGAACGCAATCTTGATGGCAGCGGGATCGTCTGGCCATAAGATAAATGACAAGAGATTGTTTTTAGCCACTATGTGGTAGTGTCGGATTGCAAACGAATAAATGTGCCATCATGAAAAATGAGCAGATCACCTCAAAGCTCATTGACTTTGTGTGGCACTAGAGGAGACTGCGATTAATCTGTTTTCCATTTAATTAAGTATAGGATGAAATGATTTGATATATCGAGTGAGCTGCAAAGTGTGTCGAATCGAACGCACGTGCCAAAAGCCATTCAACTCTCCAGCGAAAATACTAAACGAAATATTAACTGCCTACTTGTTCATTAAACAACTTATTCTAGTGACGTTCCGGCGCTCTAATTTACATATTTTTGTATTCTAAAGAGTCACTAATGAGCCCCGCCAACTAACTCAATCGAAATCTTCCCAGGCCGCTAACCAACCAACACAACTATTTAATGAGTTGTCCACCAGTTGCCGGCAAAATAATCCGAGCTTTGTTCTTTCGTTCTCTCTTGAATGCGTGTTCTGTTTGCCACTCAAGGTCGCCTCCTTGTTCGTTGCCAATAATTAGTCACAAATACAACTAACTCATCTTTAGGTTGGAATTCATAAACAGGCGAGTGAAAACTCTTAAGTTAAATACACCTAATTCTGTTTTTACACGGTAGAATGTTCCAGAAACAACCGTGTAAAAAAAGACATTGATCATAAGCAAAAATAGGTGATTGGTTCCTTATCTCTAAAGAAATATATATGAAAATTTTGTTGTATCAAAATCGTGTAAAGAAAGACCGTGTAAAAACAGAATTAGGTATGCTACTAGATGTGGGATACCGTTTTCACAACTGTATTATATTTAAATAAGAGTGCTTCATTCCATGGATGTGAAATGAGAAGTCAAACAGAGCATATGTTTCTTCTTAATTTAGTCCCTGAATAGGTGTGTATATTTTTAGATATATATATATATAGTTTGTACACAGGAAAGTCCAACATGTAGTTGTCCATGTGAGAAGCAATGTCTGTTTAATTACGGTCCCCAATCGAATTGGAAATTTTAATATTTGAGTTGAAAGAAAAAAAAAGAGCGTATCGGTTGGGATCATCTGAATTCACCTTTGAAAGGTCCCATCCAGATTTAATATTATGTAATATTAGAGATTAGCATTAAAGCCAAAAATGTAAAGGTATTAATAACACTATAACATTCAAAAATGATTTAATGGTGTGTACGAAATTAAAATTTCGTTAGGTGAAAATTAAATACACCTTATTCTGTATTTACACGCTTTTGATTTAACAGGTTTTGAAAATTAAAAATTGTATGTATGGTTACATTTGGAACGATTCAAAATATTTTTTTTTTTGTTTACACGACTTTTTCTGGAACCAATCTACCGTGTAAAAACAGTATTAGTTATACAATACAATACAAATGCATACAAATATATAAATATTCAATGCAAAATTAAATAATATTAAATAACTTCTTTGGGAGCAATGTTTTTCCTCTGTGGGTTTCCCTTTAAAATAGAGTGGAATCAACAGTTCCTATAATAATTTAATAGAAATAAAATATGGTACTAAAGTATCCAACACATTTCTTCTAGTGGTTTCTTAAAAACGAATCCAATAATTCATAAGACCGTTGGAAAACTGTGTACCCCCGTTTATACAGAGGCTGTTTCTGAAAAGGCTGCCTGTAGAAAAGAACGATTCTCTCAAGACTACTTAACAACCCTCCTCTGCGTATTACACATACTTTATATAATTAAATATGCTGTTGCTATAGTGTATAGATAATGTTGCAATTGTTTTCTCAAGAACGAAAGACTTAGACAACGAACTTGTGCCATCCATTATATCCATTAATTATATTTTTGCATATTGTTATGGCTGGCAAATAATAACTGGCTATTTTTATGCAGTCTTTAAGTTAAACTCACATTAAATGACGCTTAAATGCAGCTGCAGCCGAGCAAGTTCGCTTTTATAGCTGTTGATTATGATAATTATTTGATGGGCAATCAATTACATGAGAGCTGTATAGTCCTTCAGTTACAGATGAGTTGTGCTTTTGTTTGCTTAATTTATTAATTTAAATAGCTTCGTTTGTTTGGCGTAATCTCATAATTTGTTTTATCTTTAATTCGTAAAATATAAAATTGTTTGTTTATTTGATTAATTCTCGTATGTTTTATATTTTTTGAAAGTCGCTTTTCACTTGTAAGCTTAGTAGTTATTATTATAGTTTGTTTTATATTTTGTTCACAAAACGTTTTCGACTCCTGCACTGCTTTACCGACGCGCCGAGGTGTGTACGCCACGAAGAGCGGCAAATAAATGATCTGCGGACGGTAATTTGTTTTTCTTAAAACAAAAATCATTTGGCCGGTCTCAGTTGCGTCGCTGCCGTTGCCGCTGCCGCTGCTACTGTCGACGTCATGAACAGTGTGCCGGCCTGTTGGCGTGCCAATCTCTCTCTATGTAAGTGTGTGTGTGCCATAAGTTTTATTGTGTTGCGGGGTCCGAGGCTCTGAGACTCTGACCAGGTAGCCAAGTTGCTGCCAATGATCTTGATGACGAGTGACGCTGAGTGGAGCTGGAGTGCATAAATTTGCCACTTTATTGTTACTTACTTACTGTTACAGTTTGCTTTTGCACTTTGTGGGTTTTACTCTTAGTCTTACCTGCCATCTGCTTGACAAATCCACAGTCCCCCCACCAGACCCGGACAGTGGGCTCTCTGCCTTGTCAACCGAATTGATTCATTCCAATAGCTGACAGGTCTGCACTTGTTGGAAAGTGTCAGACCGAGCGATCGAACGGCAATGCAGGAAATTCAATATCATCTGCCCGTCAGCTTTGTAGCGAGCGCTACTCGATTAAATTACACCTAACTAAGAATACAGACTGCCCTGTGAGGCTGTCCCCAGCAGCTTCACGGCCTTTTGTTTTTGCGATTTGTGCACAAATTAGTTACAAATGAACCTACGACAACAACGGAGGGTGGGCCTCGCCCTCGGCCACCAAACTGGCTGTGGTAACACGAAGCTGCCATGAGAATTTATTGACAGGCCAGCGCACGCCATCGAGTTGGACTATCCATCCAGTCATCCATCCAGCAATCTGTATCTGCTGTTGTGCGTGTACCGCTTTAAGGGCTTTGCGTAATTTAATTGGCGCCTTCTTGCCGTGGGCTCCATGAAAATTATTAACTATTTCTTTAAATGCCATTGCGTGTGCCTGAAAATATCTGGAGGGCCAATGTTTAAACAAAGTGTTGACCATTTTCGTTGCTCCGTTGACTGACCTCTGAGAGTGCCTGAGCTTTGACCTACTGCACGAATCCAAAAGGGAAAGCTTAAGTGCAAGTGTTGACCCCTGACCTTTCAGATCGGGACGAGGTTAGATAAGGCTTTTACAGGTAGATTGACACACTCCCTATAAGATCTGTGTAAATACTACTTTTGGCTATATTATGTGATTTAGTTTGAAAAGTGTAAAAACTTTAATCTATAAAAAAGCTATATACTATGATGTATCGTATCAACGACCCTATTTGTAAAATTAATCTGCAGGACGATCTAAGCTGCTTGCAGCTAAAGCGCTTGATTAATAGCAGCTTAATAGCTCAATTCATAATTATATTACTTCTACTACATACATATTCGTGTGCTATAATTATAATTTAAAGTTATATTTATCAATCAAATTTGGCAATTACTTCCATTTAGTGCTTATTTTTAAAGTTTCCAAATCGGGGCATCCGAATATATGATTATGGTGTACAGTTATTTGCAGTGCAAATTAAAGCAGTTTCCAAGCAGTGCTGGACAATCCGTAAGGGGTTCTTTTAATGCTAGAAAGCCTCGTGTTAAGCGAAATCGTGTTAAAAATAGTCTGACTTCATATAAAATATGGGGTTACGTTCTTGGATTTTAACAAATGCACAAAACAATATTTTTTCTTGTTTAAATTTCCGCTCTTTTTAAGGTCTAAACATTT